GGAGTTTGAATCAAGCCCGAAATACTTGGTGTAAACGCACGGGAGTGGATGTGTGCACGTTTAAAATCTGAATTTTGTAACCAGATCCTTGCGGTTGTTTTTTCTACCCTGGAGGTTTTAAAGTCAGTGTTGGAGTTTAGGACCTTGGGAGGATTGTAGTAAAGGGCCTGAGTTCTGTTTTCTTAGGGTGCAGCAGCTGCTCCTTGCAGAGTAGGAGATATAACACCCAGGGAGGGTGGAAGGGCTTCTTGTGGAGCAGCGGCGACTTGTATTACCAAATTAGCCAGGAAAAATGGGAATTGATGCCTTTCCGTCCTTTCTGAGGTCTGATTTCTGCATCTGAGTGATAAAATTATAACGAAATCTTTTTTTTTGGGGGGAAACCCTTGAAGGTTATCGAGTCCAAGCATCCCCCAGCACTGCCAAGGCCACCACTAACCCATGTCCCCAAGTGCCACATCCACAGGGATTTGAAATCCCTCCAGGGATGGGGACTCACCACTGCCCTGGGCAGCTGTGCCGGGGCTGGACAACCCTTTCCATGAAGAAATTTTCCCCAATATCCAAACTAAACCTCTTCTGGTGCAGTTTAAGGCCATTCCCTCTCCTCCTGTCCCTTGTTCCCTGGGAGCAGAGCCCGAATCCCCCTCCTCCCCTCTCCGGCACAGGGACAGCTCTGATCCCAGTTAAAGGAGGGTTTATGGGCAGGAACACACTCAGGGAATCATTCAGGTTGGAAAAGACCTCCAGGATCTTCCAGTCCAACCTCTGCCGGATCCCACCTTATCCCCCAGCCCAGAGCACTCAGTGCCACGGCCAGTCCTTCCTTGGACACCTTCAGGGATGGGGAATCCACAACCTCCCTGGGCAGCCCCTTCCAAGGCCTGACCACCCTTTCCAGGAAGAAATTCCTTCTGATGTCCAACCTGAGCCTCCCCTGGCACAGCCTGAGGCCGTTCCCTCTCCTCCTGTCCCTTGTTCCCTGGCAGCAGAGCCCGATCCCCCCCGGCTCCCCCCTCCTGTCAGGGAGTTGCAGAGCCAGAAGGTCCCCCCTGAGCCTCCTTTTCTCCAGGCTGAGCCCCCCCAGCTCCCTCAGCTGCTCCTGCTGCTCCAGCCCCTTCCCAGCTCCGTTCCCTTCCCTGCACACGCTCCAGCCCCTCCATGTCTCTCCTGTCTGAGGGTCCCAGAGCTGCCCCCAGGGCTGGAGGTGCCTCCCTGGGATCCCTCTGGTGCCCGTGTGGGAGCAGCCTGATGTGTGCCAGCAAAATGTGCTGCTTCCAAGTCCTTCATTCCTGGTGTGTTTTTCCTCCTTGAGTTACTCCCATATCCCCTTCCCGAGGCTCCTCTCCCAGACCGAGCCCAAACCCAGTGCAGGACCTGTCCCAGTTATCCGTGCCCGTGGCATGGGTGGCACAGGGAGCAGGGAGTGGGAAGGAACAGGGGCTGTTTGCTTTTTTACTGGAGCTGGGAGATCACTTGAGCTTCCTCTGTTGAATGGAAACATAAAATTCCACTTTCGGTCTCCTTTTAGTGCTGTGGATTTATTTCTGTGTGTCCTGGATTGTGTCTCTGGGAGAGTATTTATGGAATAACATGGATGCTGCTGCTCTGCTCATACCCCAGTGAGAACTTATGAGAACTTAATTCCTATTTATTTTCCTCTCAGAGACATCAACTCTGATTTCTCATATTTTTTTTAATATCCTTTATTTGCTCATAATGGCAGTGAGTTAAGTAAGGAGTCTGAGTAACTCACAGATAAGTTTTTAATAACAACATCTCAAAAGTTTGACTGTCCTTATATTTATAAAACTAAATCCCATGTTTTGGTTTTCCACTGCTGAAATTTCATTAAATTATGTAACTCTAATTTTTATTCCCCCCCTGAGATGTGACATGGCTGGGGCTACAATATCAGCAGGATTATTTTATTTTTTATATCACTCTTGATAGCATTTCGATGGAGAGTAATGTAATAATTGTTTCCAGATAAAATTGTTCCAAGAGTTTCGTGAGCAGAAGCTCCCTGAGAGTTTGGCCCATGGAATGAGGCTGTTTTTAACTCAGGAGACTTGCTCAGGTTTCCAGAACCTGTTTATTCTTGGTTGCAGGCAAAGTGCTGTCAGTGTTGATACAGTTGGATTCCTGGCTTTTCCAGGGATATTATTTTCAAAGGGATGAAACAGTCTGGATATTATTGCCTACAACTTGGGATTTGTGTCTGGTTTTGTGAATTCCTGATCAGTAGATAAGTGGTTTGAATTTTCAAAGATGGTGGAGCTTTAAAATAAATATGGATCATGGAATCATGGAATGGTTTGGGTTGGAAGGGACCTTAAAGACCATCCAGTTCCACCCCCTGCCATGGGCAGGGACACCTCCCACTAGCCCAGGTTGCTCCAAGTCCCACCTGGCCTTGGACATTCCAGGGATTCAGGGGCAGCCACAGCTTCCTCAGCTCCATTTCTGAGCTTGAAAAGTATTATAATAAATTCATCTGGAGAGAGGGGAAGGTGGTTTTGTAAAAATCTGCGAGTTTTACCTTTTTAATTTGAAGCAGAGATGAACCTTAAAAGTTCCCCGTTGGAGAAGAGGCTGGAAAATCACTTTTGACTCAGTCAAAATATTTAAAAAAGATGAGCTGATACATTAACAGATCACTGGGAAAAGACACAGAAAAAGGCTCCAAGATAGCAATTTTGGGAACTTCTGATCTTGATTCCTTCTCTTTCCTGCCAAGCTTGAATCCATGGTGGTTTTGTTTTCCTAAAGCTGGTGTAAGTGGGACAGCTGGATTTTGCCAGAGGGCTGTGATTTGCTCCAGCCTTTGTGCCCACGGTGGGGTTTGTAACCTGCCTGGGGAGAGATCCTGTGCCAAGCTGTGCTGTGCCAGGACGTGGTGTCTGGGCACCTTCAGGTGCTGCTGGTGTTTGCTGCCATCCTGCCCTGGCATTTTTGTTTTTCCAGCAGTTTCTGTGGTACCTCAGCAATTTGTTAAAACCCACTTAGAATATTTTGACTAATTCCTGTGAGATGGGAGTGTGTGTCCCCATGGTTTGGATCTTGGTTTTGTCCTCTGCTGTGCAGTGCTTGCAGATGTTGGTGACAATAATCATGGAATCATGGGATGGTTTGGGTTGAAAGGGAACTTGAAGACCATCTCATTCCACCCCCCTGGCATGGCAGGGACACCTCCCACTAGACCAGGTTGCTCCAAGCCCTGTCCAACCTGGCCTTGGACACTTCCAGGGATCCAGGGGCAGCCACAGCTTCTCTGCCCAACCTGTGCCAGGGCCTCATCACCCTCACAGCCAGGAATTCCTTCCCAATATCCCATCTAACCCTGCCCTCTGGCACTGGGAACCCATTCCCTATGTCCTGTCCCTCCATGCCTTGTCCCCAGTCCCTCTCCAGCTCTCCTGGAGCCCCTTCAGGCCCTGCCAGGGGCTCTCAGCTCTCCCTGGAGCCTTCTCTTCTCCAGGGGAACCCCCCCAGCTCTCCCAGCCTGGCTCCAGAGCAGAGGGGCTCCAGCCCTGGCAGCATCTCTGGGGCCTCCTCTGGACTCTCTCCAGCAGCTCCACGTCCTTGTGCTGCCCTTCTTCCCAGTATCCCATCTAACCCTGCCCTGTGGCAGTGTGAATCCATCCCCCCTTGTCCTGTCCCTCCAAGCCCTTGCCCAATGTCCTTTTAAGTCCTTTTCAGGCTTTTTCCCCTTCTCTCTTTCAGTGGCATCCTGAGTTTTTTATGGTTTTAAGTGCTGCTGTTCCCTGAGTATCTCAGGATGAAGGATTCCAACTGTACTTTCTGCTTCCACATCCTTCTCCAGAGTCTTTTCCTCCTGTCAAGTCCTCACCACCTATTTATAGGAGCGGCAGGAAGGGATGTTGTAGAGCATTCCAGAGTATTCCTGGCACTGTCCCAGCAGTGGGGAGCACTCAGCTCTTGGACTTCAATCCCTTGATCCAGGGATGGCCTGGGGATGGGGATGTGCTGTGGGGTGACCTGGGGATGAGGATGTGCTGTGGGGTGACCTGGGGATGGGAATGTACTGTGGGATGACCTGGGGATGAGGATGTGCTGTGGGGTGACCTGGGGATGGGGATGTGCTGTGGGATGACCTGGGGATGAGGATGTGCTGTGGGGTGACCTGGGGATGAGGATGTGCTGTGGGGTGACCTGGGGATGGGAACATGCTGTGGGGTGACCTGGGGATAAGGATGTGCTGTGGGGTGACCTGGGGATGGGGATGTGCTGTGGGGTGACGTGGGGATGGGGATGTGCTGTGGGATGACCTGGGGATGGGGATGTGCTACCAAAGCTGGGAGATGCCTGGAAATTCCATGCTCTGAGGTTGTCCTGAGTTTTGCAGCCCTCGATGTGTGAGGAATTAAGGTCTTACTTTGCACTCGAGGGTTATCAGAGAATCACAGGCTGGGCTGGGTTGGGAGGGACTTTAAAGACCATCTTGTTCCACCCCCTGCCATGGGCAGGGACACCTTCCACTATCCCAAGTTACTCCAAGCCCTGTCCAACCCTGAACACTTGCAGGGATGTGCTTTGGGGGTCACTCCTCCATCCAGGAGGTTGTCAAGGAGTTTGTGGAGAGTCAAACACAGAAAGGGTGAGAGGTCACACCGTGGACTTTGTCTGAACTTCATCCAAGAATGGTGCAGTTTGTTTAAATAAATAGCTTGGGAATAATTTTGGCTTTTCTCTTGGGGAATTCCTTTGTGGTTATGTGTGGTGTATCCCTCCAAATGGACTTGGAGCCATGACATCCACCTGTTGGAGAAACCATCCCTCCTGAAGTGATGTCCTTCAAGGGGTCAGGAAAATCATCAGAAAACCTGTAGAGAGACTTCCACAGGACTATCCCAGTGGGAGCTTTGTTTGTTTGTAGTGGCTCTTGATTAAATAAAAATTTCAGGATGGGTCTTCAAAAAGGTAGGAAATCATCTCTGAATGGAAAACTAATGTTTGCCTTTGTTTTTCCTTTCCAGACTCACTGAACCTTCGGGGTACGTCACGGATGGGCCTGGGAATTACAAATACAAGACAAAATGCACCTGGCTCATTGAAGGAAGGTGAGTGTTGGGAACAGCCTGGGGTTTCCTCTTGGTTATGGTAGCTTTTAGGTGAGGTTTATCTGCGTTAAATATTTTTATATCTCGTGATTCTTTCTGGCTGTTCCTAAATCTAAATCGGGCAGCGCTCAGTAAATAAGTTTTTAGGGTGTTTTTGTGCAACTGAGCCCTCCAAACTGACTCAGGATTGAGAGGTTTGTGTTGAAACAGCACGTGGTAAACAAAAATCAGCGTGTTTGTGGAAGTAGTGAAGGATTGGGAATTATTGAACTGATACCAGAGGGGAACATTCAGTGTTGGGACTCACAACACATGGGATTTTTTGGCAGTGTGAAAAAAAAAAAAAGAGGAAACTCTCTAAAAACCCCTCTTTATGAAAAATCAGTTTTTGGAGTGATCCTTTAAATCCTTCTTTACTCACTGGGCCATGAGGACTTCACAAGGACCACTGACCTGTTTTACAAAGCTTTTCTAGACTGGGATAAGTCTCTCAGACCTCACTTCGTGCCCTTCCTGGATTTGATCCTTGTTTTGCAGAGATTTTTAGGAGCAGCACATTTGGTGCACATCCTCTGTCACCCCATGGATGGTGCAGCAGTTGGGAGCATCTAAACTTGTTGAAATACAATTTTCATAGAACCAAGCTGATGCCAGGTTTGAAAAATCCAATTTTTTTTGGTCTCTAAGGCTGTTCAGTGGTGGGGTGTGATGCTGTGTGGTGACAGCTCTGTGTTCAGTCACATTCCATGTTGTTCCCTGGATCTGGAAGTGGAGAGGTCAGGGAACTGGAACAAGTCATGTGAGAGCATGGATTTGGACTGGATGCTGTAAACTGAGGCCTCTTGGCATCTTGGAGGATCAGAATTTGCTAAAACCCAGAGCACACTTTTCCTTGGTCTTCTCCTGTGGGTGGCATGGACAGTGGGACTGAGGCACCTCAGCAAGTCTGCTGTGACCCCGAGATGTGTGGTGTGGTCACCAAGATGTTGGTCACAGGCTGCAGGGAAGGGTTGGAATGGCATCCAGGGGGAGCTGGACAGCTCCCCCTGTGGGAGGGAGGAATGTGGGAATGTGGGAAACTCATGACGTTCAACAAGGCCAAGTGCAAAGTGCTGCTCCTGGGTGGGGACAATCCTGGCACAAACACAGACTGGGAGACTGGATGGAGAGCAACTCTGGGAGAAGGACTTGGGGGTGTTGGTGGGGGAGAGGCTGGAGATGCCCCAACCCAGATGCCCCAACCCAGACCCCCCGTGCCCTGGGCTGATCCCCCAGCGTGGGCAGCAGGGCAGGGGGGGATTCTGCCCCTCTGGCCCTGTCTCAGCTGAGACCCCCCTGCAGAGCTGCTCCAGCCCTGGGAACAACAGCACAAGGACGTGGAGCTGCTGCAGAGAGTCCAGAGGAGGCCCCGGAGCTGCTGCCAGGGCTGGAGCCCCTCTGCTCTGGAGCCAGGCTGGGAGAGCTGGGGGGGTTCCCCTGGACAAGAGAAGGCTCCAGGGAGAGCTGAGAGCCCCTGGCAGGGCCTAAAGGGGCTCCAGGAGAGCTGGAGAGGGACTGGGGACAAGGGATGGAGGGACAGGACACAGGGAATGGCTTCCCAGTGCCAGAGGGCAGGGTTAGATGGGATATTGGGAAGGAATTGCTGGCTGGGAGGGTGGGGAGGCCCTGGCCCAGGTTGGGCAGAGAAGCTGTGGCTGCCCCTGGATCCCTGGAAGTGTCCAAGGCCAGGTTGGAGCAACCTGGTCTAGTGAAAGGTGTCCCTGCCCATGGCAGGGGGTGGGACTGGATGTTCTTTAAGGTTCCTTTCCAACCCAAACCATTCCATGATTCCATGTTTGGGAGGTCTGTTGACTGGGGCTTGGGGGAAATGGGTATTCACTGAATCTACTTCAACCATTTGTTTGGGATGAGGAAGTTAAGTTCCTAAGCTCCCAAGATACTCCAAGCTGAGGGCTGAGTTTATCCAGAGAACCATCCAGAACCCTGGAATTGGGAGCCAACCACTCACCATTAACTATGTGAAGGAGCCCCATCCTTTAAGGTGGTTGAGATCAAAAGTTGGCTGCTCCAAGTGGCAACACCTTTTAATTTCTGTAGGTAAGAGGAACCCAACTGCAGAGAGTTGGCAATTAGAAACAATTAAAAAATGTTTCACAAGAATGTTATTCCAGACAAACCAGCCTGAGCCATTCCAGCACAGCCAGATGAACCATCCCAACTTCTGTTTTTAAAGGATATCATGACTCATATTTTTATCAGAAGTGAGGTGCTGCCCCTGAGTCCTCGATAAAGTCACCAAAACTGCTCCTCCAGCCTCGACTGCTTCTGCTTCCTAGAAAACCATCACTTGGTGGGGTTTAAAATGAGATGTTTTGTTGCTGGAGAGGCAGAAAAAAATGTTCCTCCCTGTTCCATGGCCAGGCCTAGAGGTTGGAATCCTTTTCCTGTTTGTCCCCTGCTGTCAGAGGAGGGTGGTGGAATGGAGAGGAGATAATGGTGCTGATTAGAGCAGCTGGAAAATGCAGCCACCTGAAAAGAGCCCCAGCTCTGCTGCCAAGAGTAAAATTCCCAGACATCTGGACTTGGGAAGCAGTGCCTGCAAAGCTGTTCAGGTCTGAGTGCTGGCATTGCTGTGTTGGAGGGATTTGGGATTAGCAGGGAAAGGTCCAATCCAGTGTGCCATTGGAGGCACTGAAAAATTCAGTATAAAATAAGCCACGTTTTCCTTCCCGTTCTCCTTTCCTTTCTGCACAATTCCTGGCTCTTCCTGGCTGGTGCCTGTGCTGTGCCCTCTTCCTGGGGGTGTCCTTGAGTGAGGCATCATCCCCATCCCTCCTCCCTCAGGTCCCTTTTCCCATAAAAACACTCAGTTGATCCAAAGAAAAACCCAAATGGCCCAACCCCCCCCCCCAAATCCAGCTCAGTTTTAGATTGTTTTATTCCCCAAAGGAATAATTCCATCATTTCATCATTCCATGATGTTGTTCCTCAGGGTTAAGTCGGGATGGAGTTTGGGAGAGCTCGGAGTGAGGCGTCATCCCCATCCCTCCTCCCTCAGGTCCCTTTTCCAATAAAAACACTCAGTTCATCAAAAAAAAAGCTCCAAATGGCCCAACCCCCTCCCAAATCCATCTCAATTTTCCATCATTTTATTCCCCAAAAGACTAATTCCATTACTCTCTAATTCCACGATGTTGCTTTTCAGGGTTCAGTGAGGGGATGGACTTTGGGAGAGCTCGGTGAGGTGAATCAATCCCTCCCAAAATTCCCAATTTGTCCTTCCCCAGGAGTGTGAGACAAGGCAGGTGAAATCCATGGAGCCTGACGATCCCAAGGCACAACCAGGTGCTTGGGATGGTGCAGATGAGGGTCCACTAATGAGTTGTTGGCTGCAGCAAGAAGACTCTTTCTTTTTGTTCCTGGTCTGAACCTTTATTGATGGACCATAGCAAACCCTCTGACTCCATAGTTTTGAGACCATGGCTACTCTTTGTACCTCTTTTTTTTAAAGCAGGACATTATCCATGAGTTCCACCTGCTGCTCTTTATCCAAAGGCCTGGAGCAGATGGTTGAGCCTATCAAAAAAATAGAATAACTTACACAGTAACTCCCAAAAGAATTCGGCTCCTGTGGGAAGGAACGACTCTGGCACAATGAAAATTATTGATTTATTCAATTAGGATGAACAGGGATTTCATCTGAATCCAAAGGCAGTGCTGATGGAGAGATCCTGATCACTTGGATCTGTCCTTTCCACAGCTTCAGCTGTGGGTGGGAACAAGCAGTGCTGACACAGATTCACTTTTATTTATCTCGGGTCCAAGCACAGTGTAGGGTTGTTTCCACCCTCCTGGAGCTGAGCCCTAATTTGGGTGTTTGCTGTGGCTTCTCTGGGATGTTCTTTAGGTGGATCTTGGCACATTAACCATGAAAGAAATGATGTCTTACCATGAGGAGAAGCTCCACGTGGCACCCAGAACTCCCCCTGCCCTGGGCTGATCCCCCAGCGTGGGCAGCAGGGCAGGGGGGAATTCTGCCCCTCTGCCCCTGTCTGAGGTGAGACCCCCCTGCAGAGCTGCTCCAGCCCTGGGAACAACAGCACAAGGACGTGGAGCTGCTGGAGAGAGTCCAGAGGAGGCTCTGGAGCTGCTGCCAGGGCTGGAGCCCCTCTGCTCTGGAGCCAGGCTGGGAGAGCTGGGGGGGTTCCCCTGGAGAAGAGAAGGCTCCAGGGAGAGCTGAGAGCCCCTGGCAGGGCCTGAAGGGGCTCCAGGAGAGCTGGAGAGGGACTTTTGACTTGTTTGGATGTGCAGTTTGGAGGGGCTTCCCTTGGGAGGGCCGTGTGTTCTGCACAACTAATAAAGTAAGAGGAGAAGGATTAGTGCCAACTCCTGGGCAAATCCATCATCTCAGGCCATCATAACCACACCAGCCTGCAGAAAGTCCCTTGAACAAGGAAAGAGCTCTCCTTAATTCCCTGGTGGGGGCTGGGATTCTTCACATGTGTTGTCCATGGAGGTTTTCCTTGCAAAGCCCTTTCCTTAGGAGAGTCAGCACCAGGGAAGAGCCGAGGGCTGGCTGGTCCTGCTCTTTGGTATCTGGTGGTGATGAGGGGGAAAGCTTTAAGGACACTGTTTTCTGACCATAAAGAACCTGTTGCTTAATACCAGGGGAGCTGCACACCCAAAACAATTAAGCCCCAGCGTGTTTGATGCATCTGCAGTGACACGAATCCCTCAGTTTTAGTCTGCTTTAGAGCAGAGCATCCCACCAGAGGAGGAGCATTTTGCCCTGGGTGTGTGTGAGTTGGCCGATTACAAATCTTTTCATTTATTTTTTCCTTCCTTCCTTTATTTATTTTGATTAATCTGTTTGTTTTTCTTTTCTTTCCAGGCCAAACACAATCCTCAGGCTTCGGTTCAACCACTTTGCCACGGAGTGCAGCTGGGACCACTTGTATGTGTATGATGGAGACTCCATCTATGCTCCCTTACTGGCAGCTTTCAGGTAAGTCCCCCTTGGTAAGCCTCTTAATGATATTTTTAATTTAGAACCTGACTTAAATGTGGCTTCTAACAGTGCCAGGTGTGTTCCAGGGATCCAAATATCTAACCCTGCAAGTGCAGCAGTGTAGCCAGTGTGTCCTTTTGTGCAGTTGTCGTCAGGATAAACAATTAAGGAGTTGTTTTTTGCTGGTACAATGAGCAAACCGTGTCACTGCACTGTGGCATGGAAGTGTTATGTTTTCATTTCCAAATCCTGAGTGTTTGAGAGACAGAAAAATTACTGTCATGTGGCTGGACTGGAGATGATTTGGAGTGCAGGGTCCTCCTGGAACAGGCTCTCCAGGGAATGGTCACAGCTCCAGGACTGCCGGAGCTTGAGGAATGTTTGGAAAACGCTTTCAGGCACAGGGTGGGATTGTTGGGGTGTCTGTGCAGGGCCAGGGCTTGGACTGGATGATCCTGGTGGGTCCCTTCCAGCTCAGGATATTCTGGGATTCTGTGAAAGGAGAAAACTGCCCCACTGATGAGCTTTGAACGTGGTTTATGAATTAAAACTTGCAGTGTGTCAGTGCTGACTGAAGGGAAAAGCCAATTCATGTTGAGACAGGAGGATCTCAATATACAAATGTGTATGGATACACATGGATCTAAATATACAAATATATTGGATACACATGGATCTCAATATACAAATATATTGGATACACATGGATCTCAATATACAAATATATTGGATACACATGGATCTCAATATACAAATATATTGGATACACATGGATCTCAATATACAAATGTGTATGGATACACATGGATCTTAATATACAAATGTGTATGGATACACATGGATCTTAATATACAAATGGATATGGATACACATGGATCTAAATATACAAATATATTGGATATACATGGATCTCAATATAGAAATGTGTATGGATACATGTGAATCTCAGTATACAAATGGATATGGATACACATGGATCTAAATATACAGATGTGTATGGATAGACATGGATCTAAATATACAAATGGATATGGATGCACATGGATCTCAATATACAAATATATGTCTTTATGTACCTTAATATTTTAATTTTGAAACTATTTGTTACATGTTCAGAAGCAACAGCAAAGGATCAGACAGCCTTGTGGAAACTTGGAATCCAGGAATGGTTTGGGTTGGAAGGGATCTTAAAGACCTTCCAGTTCCACCCCCTGCCATGGGCAGGGACACTTTCCACTATTCCAGATTGCCCCAAGCCCCATCCAACCTGGCCTTGGACACTTCCAGGGATCCAGGGGCAGCCACAGCTTCTCTGCCCAACCTGTGCCAGGGCCTCCCCACCCTCCCAGCCAACAATTCCTTCCCAATATCCCACCTATCCCTGCCCTCTGTCCGTGTGAAGCCATTCCCTGTGCCCTGTCACTCCATGTCCTTGTCAGATGTCCCTCTCCAGCACTTGACACATGTAAAAATATCCCTTCTTCCAAGGGGTGACAGGAATTTGGCTCATCCCTGTGGTGACACCAATCTGTGGATGGTGGTGAACAATCAACGTTTCACACCAGGCCCCGCTGTAACTCCTGCATTCCTGTGCTTGAGTCCCACAGTGACACCACCACCTTATGGGTTTTATTCCTTTAACTGAAATTAGGAGAATAATCCCAAGTTATCCATGGAAAAAAACTAATGGTTCCCCTGGGGCCCTGCTTGTTCCAAGTGGCTGCATAACCATGTCCAGAATTAACCTTCTGCTGGGCTCCCTCTCCTTTGTGAAACGAGGGTCTAAAAATACTTGGTGTTTGTTCCAGAAAATCCTCGTAATCTCTAGGAGAGAAGATCAGCAGAGGAACAAAAAGTTGATTAAAATATCAGAGCCACCACATGTGGGCTTTCTTTTTTTTTTTTTTTTCTGGCCTTGGGCTGCAGTTGCAGAGTTGTTTTGGAGGGAAGGATTCCTGCCAAGCTTCAGAACCAACCCCAGGTTCGAAACAGGCCACGGGAATGAATTATTATGTTGTTCTCACCTCATTTCGAAGAAGAAACAACCTTCCCTCTTCTAAAAAACCTCCAAAAAACCCTGGAAGTGGCACCTGGAAGTGCTCTCCTGGTATCCTGCCCTGATTGATGTGCAGGAAGAGGAGGAAATGTCATCCTGACTCCTCATCATTTCGCTCTAATCGAGCTGATTTTTGAACGTGCTGGTGAAAAGGTGAAATGATGATGATTTGTGCCTGCAGTTCCTTGTGTGTTTTCCAAAAATTAATGGGCTTCTGAAATGGAGGTTATAAGTAGTTCACAGCATTAACAATTACGGCTGAGACTGGAAAATCCTCTGTAAATCACTAGGAAGTCTGGGCCTGAGGACAAGCAAGAGTGAGCTTAATACAATAACACTTTGGAGGGAGGGGAAAAAAAAATTCAATTATTTTCATTAATTGCTTCTTTAGATGGCATTTGAATTTCATCTTCATTAGCACTGAGCTGTGGTGTTCAGTAATCCAAGTTCAGGAAATGGGAGATGCTTCTCATTTTGATCAAGTGCCAAAAAAGCATCTGTTGAAAAATACCTTTCTCTGGTGTGAAAATGAAGGCACTGGAATTTTTTTAAGAGCAGTGCTCATATTTTATTAATTTTAGGGGGTTGTATTAAATTCATTATTCACAATAAGTGCATTTCCTTCTCCATTATTTTTGCACCCTGCCAGGGCATTTGCAGGATTGAGTTGGACACTCTAAACTTTCAGAGCTTGTTGATAAACACTATAAATTCCTCCCTCTCTAAACTCAGTTTTTGTTCCCTCCCTGGCTTTTTAGAGCAGTTCCCTCAGTTCTTTCCCTGCTCTCATCTTGTTTTCTTGACCTTCTGATGCTCATTTGTGTTTGTTCACAAGATGATATTTACCCTGAATAGAAGATGATCTTGGAAATCCTCAGCACTGGACTGTGGGGAAGCTTTAAATTGGTTTTATCAATTTTTAACAGCAATAAATATTTGCATAATGCCAACATTTACACAGTCCAAGTGTCTGCACAGGCTGAACTCCTCGTAGCCTGAGAGCCCCCCAGGGCTCTCTCGTCCTGCACATTGAGCTTTTTTATATTAAACAGGGTTAAAAATATCTTTACTGGTTTATATTTGTGAAATGAGACTGTGTCAATGTGCTGCTGCTTCAAAAATATGCAACAAAAGAACGTGGAGAAAACAAATCCAGAAGCAAATCCAAAGAATTATCCTGAGTCAGATAAACTCCAGAGCTGATTTAGATGAACTCCACGCAGCATCTGTGAGCTCTGCTGGGTTTGTTGGTGACTTTACTCCCTGTTAAACATTTACCAGAGCTGCTTTTGCACCTTTGTTTTCACTTTGCACTGGTTGGTGGGGGGTGTTTTCCTCTTCAGACCCGGCTGTTGTTGTGCAAGACCTTTGGCCGAGGCCCGGGAGCTCCCGCTGGCTCTGCTCAGGTGCCAGGGGGATGGTCCTGGTGGCCTCCACGTGAGCCCTTGTTCCCTCAGGAGATGGCAGCAGCTCCCCTTCCTTTCCTTGCAGGTCAGTGTGGCACTTGAGCCCCCAAATCTGAGTGTAGGGGTGAGTTGGGATGGAAGGCTCTGATCCCTCTCTCAAAGCAGGTCCGGCTTCAGAGCCCTTTGCTCAAGATTTTGCCCAGTCAGGGTGGGAATTCCTATTTAGGATGGAGATCTTGTTGATCCTGTGGGTCAGTGGTCCAGTGCTGAGCCATCCTTATGTTAAGAAATGATAATAAATAATAAATCTAATACTAATGTCTAATCAGAATCTCCTTTATAGTGTGTTGCCTGATCCTGTGAACCTCTGGTGGCATCTCCTTCTCTAATCTCTCCTGAGGTAGTTGAGGGCAGCAATTAGATCTCACCCTTCTTCAGCCCTCGACCCTCCAGGCTAAACAAGCCTCCCTCCTTTTTGCCCAGAGAAGCTGTGGCTGCCCCTGGATCCCTGGAACTGTCCAAGGCCAGGCTGGAAAGGGCTTGGAGCAACCTGGACTAGTGGAAGGTGTCCCTGCCCATGGCAGAGGGGTGGAATGAGATGGGCTTTGAGGTCCCTTCCAAGCCAACCCAATCTGTGATTCCATGGATTCTTCCACCTCCCCTCGTACATCACGTGGTTGTCCCTCCTCTGGTCCCTTCAATTCTTTGCCAAAAATGATAACCCACCTTGCTGCCTTGGGCACACCTGTCCAGCCCTGGGAACAACAGCACAAGGACGTGGAGCTGCTGGAGAGAGTCCAGAGGAGGCCCTGGAGCTGCTGCCAGGGCTGGAGCCCCTCTGCTCTGGAGCCAGGCTGGGAGAGCTGGGGGGGTTCCCCTGGAGAAGAGAAGGCTCCAGGGAGAGCTGAGAGCCCCTGGCAGGGCCTAAAGGGGCTCCAGGAGAGCTGGAGAGGGACTGGGGACAAGGCATGGAGGGACAGCACACAGGGAATGGCTTCCCAGTGCCAGAGGCAGGGTTAGATGGGATATTGGGAAGGAATTTCCCAGGCTGTGAGGGTGGGGAGGCCCTGGCACAGGTTGCCCAGAGAAGCTGCCCCTGGATCCCTGGAAATGTCCAACCTGGCCTTGGAGCACCCTGGGCTAGTGGAAGGTGTTCCTGCCCATGGCAGGGAGATGGAATGAGATCATCTTGAAAATTCCTTCCAACTCAACCCACTCCATGGTTCCACGATGACAGCAATCCTATAAGAACTGAGGAGGTTTTTGGGGCAAACCCCCTGATCCAGAGGACCCTTGCCCCTGGCCAGGGTTCCCTGTGCTGGTGCTGCAGCAGCTGGGCCTGTCTGTATGAGAGGAGATGGTTTCAAGGAATTTTGTGCTTTGGGCTGTTCCCAACTCTGTAATGAATCTTTCTTCTGTTTTGTTTTTTTTTAATAAGTGTCATTCCAATGGCTTTATTTCCTTAAAAGTCCATGTTTGGGAGTCATCTTGCTTCATTTCAGAAAATAAATTTGAGGTGTCTCCTTATTTCCCCTTTTTATTTTTCACCATTGATTTATTGTTGGCCTCTTGTAACATCTATTTTTGGTTTATTTTTACTCTTGCAGTTCCCAGGATAGGTGAGGAGCATGGAATGGTTTTTAATAAGAGAGAAATGGTGTCATTTTGTGCACAGGTGTGTCCAGATGGATCAGAGCATTTAAAAATTAGGATAAGGTTTGCACTGGATTTTGATAGATTGCAAAGCTGTTTTTTTTCAGTACCACCCTCATGCTTTGACTCCCGTGCTCTGTATTTTCTGCCTTCCCTTTTGTGATTCCCACTTTTTCCTGTTTTCTTCTCAGCAGAGCTTCTCATGCCTTTGATCTCTGACAGGTTGTGTCTCAGGAGGAAATGAGGAATCCACCAGCACCGTGATGCCCACAGAGCAAATCCAGGGACAGTAATAGAGGAGTGGCCTTTTGTTTTAAATAATTCCCATTTTTCTGGGGTGTAGGGGAGAAGTTGGGTCTCCTGGACCTAATTGTGGCCTTCCAGTACCTGCAGGGAGCCACCAAGAAAGCTGGAGAGGGACTATTTACAAGAGCATGGAATGACAGGAGAAGGGGAAATGGCTTCACATGGACAGAGAGAGTAGGTTTAAATTGGATATTGGAAAGAAATTCCTGGCTGTGAGGGTGGTGAGGCCCTGGCACAGATTGCCCAGAGAACTGTGGCTGTCCCTGGATCCCTGGAAGTGTCCAAGGCCAGGTTGGACAGGGCTTGGAGCAACCTGGGCTAGTGGAAGGTGTCCCTGCCCATGGCAGGGGGGTGGAACTGGATGATCCTTAAAGTCCCTTCCAACCCAAACCATTCCATGAATCCACGATCCTGTGACATTGTTTTCACCGTGCCACTGACTCCACACATCCAGCTGACAGAAAAAGAGGAGTAATTCCAGTGGGAAGCTGGGGTTTGCCTTTCCTGGCTGTCACTGGGCAGCCGTGCTGAGTAGGAGTGTTTGTTTGCTTTGGAGTAGCAGCGCTTGCGAAATGTTTTGAAACCTTATGAGAGGAAATAAAAGCGACCGTGTTGTGAAACAGCCTAATCCTGGCCAGAGCAGAGCTGCTCAGGGAGTCTGGAGCAGAGTTTAAAGGAAGTTTTGCATAATCCTGTATCATTCTGAGTCTGCCTGTTGGATTCTTTGTCGTGGCAGAAAGTGTAAATTGTGTTTGTGCTGGTTTGTGCAGTGCTGTGCTGATTTATTCATGGGTTTTGGAGGTTTGGCCTTTCAAGGATCTGATCCTTATCTTTGTGTTGTGTTCTGTCCATTGGCTTTCACTGAAAGGAATTACAAAGCCCCATCCCTGGAAGTTTTCAAGGTCAGGAGCAACCTGGTCTGGTGGAAGGTGTCCCTGTTTTGTTTGGGACAAGATGATCTTTAAGGTCCTTTCCAACCTAAACCCTTCTGAGATTCCGTGATTAATTTTCCTCGGGTTGTTTTCAACTTGTGTAGGTGGGATAATGTCCCTTTAGTTATTTAGACAACAGGAAAGGATGGAAATAAGGGAGCAGCTGGGAGATGTGCTGAGAACATCAGCCATGGAGGTACCTGTGTTCTTGCCAAACAAATCCCAAAATTGAGATTTCCACGAGAAAACAGGTAATTGTCCTGTGATAGTGCTTTATTAGGAAAGATTATTGAGGGGGATTTTTGTCTTCTCTCTACTTTTCTTCTTTACTGCTGTTATTCCCCCTCTCCAGGGCCTTCCAGTTATTTTGCCCTGTAATATCAGAGAGAAGTGCTGAAGAAGAAACCAGAACAAAGGAGTTTTTTTCTTGTCCCTGAGCTGCAGTTTTCCTTATCCTGAATTACATTCAGAATGTCTGTTTTCCTGTGGAGCAGAAGCACCATCCTGCAGTTCCCATTACAAAGGAATATTATGAACCCAACAAGAAGTTGATTAGGCCTTTTTTTGCTCTTTAGTGTTGTGGGAGATGATCTTTTGGGAGAGATAAACTTCAGATCAGAAGTTTTAAATTTGGGAATAAAACAGGCACCTCTTCCAGGAATTGATTTTGCATTTTAATCCCATATCCTTGAGATTTGAAAGGGAGGGAGGGTTGGAAACTTCCCTTCCTCTCAAGGAAATGTTTATTGAGCAAAGGTGCTGGAGTTGTTTTGCCAAAACATGGGATCAGGTTGCAGCGATTTTATGGCCTGTTGGTAAAATGAAGGATATCTTTGTGTCCACAACAAGGCTTGTTGTGCAGTTTGCAGGGTGACCATGCCATAGTTAACACTTCATCTGGGATTTTTTGAGTGCAAACAGCCCCAAATCTGTAGCAAAAAGGATCACTGGGTGTCTGGGCTATTCACTGAGCACAACACTGTTTAATTCAGGTCACCAAAAAGTGCTTTCCAGGCAGTATGAGCGGATACTGGGAATAATTGGGTGCTTTCCTTGGGTAGAGAAACTCATTTACAGTTCCTGGGGAACTGCCTTCCACCACATTTGCTTTCTATTTTGAATAGATGTGAAAAGAGGAAAAGTGAGTCCTTTTCAAGGGGGAAAAATTCTTTTCATTGTCGCTTTTTGGTGGGTGGTGGCCTTGGATACTCAGAAGTCCAGAGCACAGGACCAGGCTTGGCTGCTTTCCTGGAAGAGTGGCTGGAGCTTCCTCCTTTTCCCTGCCTGACACGCTCCTCTCTGACACTTGGGAGCCTCCCCTGGTCACAAAGCTTCGACTTTTCCTTTGGAAAGATGGATCTGTACAGGAAAACAGCAGCTGACTGTGGATAGGGGATGGTTGACGTTGTGCTCTGCTTTTAAAAACTTCCAAAAACTTCCAATTTACACCTGCTCTGATGTCCTTCGTGTGAGGGAAGAATTAACTTCATTTGGTTGTTGTCAGGCTTCTGTAAAATTAAAAATAAACATTCCCTGCTCAGTGCAATAGGTAAATAGGTAGTAATTGTTTTTTTTTTCAAAACTCATTTAATCTCCTGCTCTGCATTATTTTTACTCCAGTTATTTTGGCAATAATATAAAACCATACTGTGTCCAGGCTGGAATACTGTAAATAATCTTGCCCACCATCCTCAGTTCTCTCTGCTGACCCTGGAAAACTAAAATCTTGATTAACTGAAAATTTAGAAGGATCTTACAGAGCCTGGAATGGTGAGAGAAACAGCCAGAGGTGTCCAGAAGTGTGAAGCAAGGGGAATGAAATGGGAGTCAGGAGTGTGAGAGGCTGACAGAAAAAACCAAAAATGTGGATGTGATGGGTTGGGTGGAGCTTTGTAAGAGAAGGGGTGGCAGGAAGATGTGGTGTGGTTGACAACCCTGAGGGATTGGAATGGCATCCAGAGGGAGCTGGACAGGCTGGAGAGGTGGGACTGTGTGGGAACCTCATGGGGTTCAGCAGGGCCAAGTGCATTGGACTGGAGCAATCCCAGTATCCCAACAGGCTGGGAGATGGAGGGATGGAGAGCAGCCCTGGGAGAAGGACTGGGGGGTGTTGGTGGGGGAGAGGCTGGAGATGCCCCAGCCCGGACCCCCCGTGCCCTGGGCTGATCCCCCAGTGTGGGCAGCAGGGCAGGGGGGGATTCTGCCCCTCTGCCCCTGTCTGAGGTGAGACCCCCCTGCAGAGCTGCTCCAGCCCTGGGAACAACAGCACAAGGACGTGGAGCTGCTGCAGAGAGTCCAGAGGAGGCCCCGGAGCTGCTGCCAGGGCTGGAGCCTCTCTGCTCTGGAGCCAGGCTGGGAGAGCTGGGGGGGTTCCCCTGGAGAAGAGAAGGCTCCAGGGAGAGCTGAGAGCCCCTGGCAGGGCCTGAAGGGGCTCCAGGAGAGCTGGAGAGGGACTGGGGACAAGGGATGGAGGGACAGGACAAGGGGGAATGGCTTCCCAGTGCCAGAGGCAGGGTTAGATGGGATATTGGGAAGGAATTGTTGGCTGGGAGGGTGGAGAGGGCCTGTGCCAGGTTGGGCAGAGAAGCTGTGGCTGCCCCTGGATCCCTGGAAGTGTCCAGAGCCAGGCTGGACGAGGCTTGGAGCAACCTGGGCTAGTGGAAGGTGTCCCTGCCCATGGCAGGGGGTGGAACTGGATGGTCTTTAAGGTCCTTTCCAGTCCAAACCATTCCATGATTCCGTGGCTGATTGTCCGTATTTCTCCTGGAAAAGGAGCCCAAGAGGCAGCAAGTGTAAAACGAGTAAAATAATCCTTTCTCTGCTGTTGCAGAGGTAAATTTTTGACCTCCCTACTCTAGGTTTTCCAGCTGAAAAGGGTAACCAATGATTGAGAAAGGAATTGGATGGAAGCAGGGATGGATGGTTTATTTAACTGTGCTGACTTGGGTGTGTTCTCCAGGTCAAAGCACCTGAACTGGGTTTCTGGAAGCTGGAGAACACATCACCAAAATGCTCTGTATTGCTTTGCCACAGCCTTTCCTAAGAATTTGCTGTAGCCCAGACCCAGGAGGGACACCCTGGGCACAGCAGACCTTTAGTTTGGCTTGGTAGTACAGATTTTACTCTTTTGGGACACACTGGTTTCTGTTTCCAAACGTGCCTCTTTGTTTGTGAGTGGGTCCTGCTTAAATCATGGCAGAATAACAAGGCAGGGAAAGGCTTTTGACAGGAATAACTGGAATTCTTCACATCTTCAAGCTCACTCAGGTTAAATACTTCAAATACATTTATTTATGATTCCACAAAGTCAGTATACTTCACATAATGCAAGTACATTGAATTGAAATTGTTTTATTCATACCGATGCACTGTTGTTGCTTTGCTCCCTTTTTTTATTACTTTTAACGGTGTTTGATTTTCTTTTTCCTTTCCAGTGGTCTCATTGTCCCTGAGAAGGACAGCAATGAAACAGTCCCTGAGGTTGTAGCTACTTCTGGATATGCTCTCCTACATTTCTTCAGTGATGCTGCCTATAACCTCACGGGCTTCAACATCACCTACAAGTGAGTGGCACCACCCCAAAGCCGTGCTGCAGGTGGAGCAAAAAGAGAATTTTCCCTCTTTTCTCACCTTTTTCCTTGAAATCATCACTTGCCCTGAAGTGTGTAATTATGAGCAGACACTTGAAATTAGATTTTTCTCTTTTATTATACCCTTTGCAGCAGTCAGTGACTGGGATGTGCTCGACGTTGGCAGCTGTGGGGGTGAATGTTTGCCCCCAAAGGCATCCTATTATTTATTTTATGTTATTAAATGGGTTTGATCCCGTTTTTAATCAACCAGGATTGATGTGTTTTGTGCATGCCTGTGTGTTCTGCAGAGGGAATTCTGCACAGACACACTTTTCCATCAGCACAGTTTCACTTGGAACACCGGGCTGTACTTGCTCTTGAAGATCCTCATCCTTGGGATGCTCTTTTTTATTCAATTTTTGGATTAAATCCCTCAATTTGGCTTCTTTTTAGTCTGGAATGTTTTTGTGTTCTTTCATTCATACTTTGAATATATTATATATTTATATAATATATAATTATTATATAATTTATATAATATATAAATACATAATATATAATCTACATAAATAGATATTATTTATACTTATATAATATATCTATATAATATATAAATATATAATTCATATAATATATAAATATATAATACATAAATATTATATAGTTCATATAAAATAAAAATAAATAATATATAAATATATAATTAATATAAAATATAAATATATAATATATCATTATTATATAATTTATATAATATATAGATATATAATACACAAATATTTTATAATCCATATAATACAAATTATATAATATATATTATACTTACATAATATATAAATATTATATAATTCATATAATATATAATTATATAATATATAATTATTATATAATTCATATAATATACAAATATATAATATATAAATATTATACAATTCATATAATATATAAATATATAATATAAATATCATATGATCCATATACTATATAAAATATATAGTATATTATATATACTATAAATATATTATAGGTGGGTGCTTTCTGTTCATTGACATATTTAGTCCTTGCTGATGAGCTTTTGTAAAACTAATTTTGGGGTTCTGCCTAATTCATCAACTGCTTTTAGAAAGGTCTTAATTTGAAGTCAATGATCTCAGTGTGGTCACACTCAGAGATGAAATGTTTTGCTTCCGTGGGGATCACGAGCTTTGAATTTTTTTTGCTCCTACAAATGCAAATGATGTTTGTGCCACACTGGGAGGTTTAATTTGGGGGTAACATGCAGGAGTTCTCACCTTTAAAAAAAAAAAAATCAACTGCAAAAGCTTTGGTCGCGAGCGACTGTTTTGCAAAAATTGAGTTTTTCTCAAAATGAGAAGCTTGTTTTTTTAACACCTGTCCTGGTGCTTTTATCCTTAGTAAGCACGTAAGTATGTGGTTGATAATCCACATAAAACCAGATTATTTGAGAAACGAGGGACATCCAGCACCCCTTGAAAGCTCCAGAAAAAACGAGAAGCCTTCACAAAGATGCTCGAAGCAGAGGAGCTGAAGGAGCAGCGTTTTCCAAGCCTGGCTTATCCTGTAAACCAGGACTCCATCTACTGCCAGCTGTTGGATTTGCACCATTGCACTGAAATACTGTCTTCAAGGATAATATTCCTTTCATTCTTCACTTTCTTGATCATTTTAAACAATTTTTCAGTGCTGTTTCGTGGTCTGATTTTTAGCTTTCCTCGTAGTGTTTTTGCAGTGAGTAGATTAAAGGGTGTATTTGTTTCTTTTAACAGTCCTCACAGTTACTACTGGGTGTAGGTACTCAGCAAACACTGTGAAATTATTATAAATTATTATGGTCTTGGACCAGTGACAGAGAGAATAATGGGCAGTAATCCCCATTTATGAGTTATACTGGTTGATACACCAGCAAAAACAGGAGCCTTGGAGGTGAATGTGGCCTCTAAATTTGGATCTTCACCAGGGGTGCCTCTGGTTTTATAACATCTTATGCATTTTATAACATCTCAGCTACGCTTGCAGATGTTATAAAATCAGAAAGGATTCGAACCAGGCACATCTTTGTCTTGGGATTCATCTCCAGCGTGTTCCCTTGGTGAGCAGATCCCAGAATAGCACCTGATTGTGAGCACTTTGAGGCTAAATTGCACAGACACCACAACGGCCTCGTGTGCTGATTAAATTCCTCACTTGCTGTTGGGCGTTATAGGGCGGTTCATTTGCATTAAAAGTGGCTAAAAATCATATTGATCATTTTTTCAGGGGAGCTGAGACTTTTGACTCCTGAGGGGAGGGAGCAAATCCCTGCAGGCCCGTCCCACCAGGGTCTTGGTTTGGGTGGAAAAAACTGTGTTAACATTATTCAGTTAATAAATCTTGGTTTATTAACCAACTAAATCTTGGGAATCCTCTTCCTTCCTTACAAATTCTTTTCCCTGCTGTTCCCAGTTTCAATATGTGTCCCAACAACTGCTCTGGCCGGGGGGAATGCAAACTCAACAGCAGCACCAAGGCCCTGGAATGTGACTGTGCCAAATACTGGAAGGGGGAAGCCTGTGACATTCCCTACTGCACCGAGGACTGTGGGGCTCCTGAGAGGGGCCACTGCAACAGCAATGACTCCAAGGCCTGTCTGTGCTCCCCAGGCTGGCAAGGTGAGTGTCCTAGGGGATGGAGGGAAGTTTTGGGATGCATTTTCCGTGTGGGGCACTGGCAGATTCATTGGGAGTATGTGGGAATATTCCCAGTGACACGTGTTAGCGTTTCGACCGGGAACGGAGTATCTGCTTTTTAGTATTAAAAGATCACACTCCATTTGGAAGGTTGGAGCTGCTGGAGAGAGCCCAGAGGAGACCATGGAGATGCTGCCAGGGCTGGAGCCCCTCTGCTCTGGAGCCAGGCTGGGAGAGCTGGAGGGGCTCCCCTGGACAAGAGAAGGCTCCAGGGAGAGCTGAGAGCCCCTGGCAGGGCCTGAAGGGGCTCCAGGAGAGCTGGAGAGGGACTGGGGACAAGGCATGGAAGGACAGGCCAAGGGGGAATGGCTTCCCAGTGCCAGAGGGCAGGGTTAAATGGGTTATTGGGAAGGAATTGTTGGCTGCAGGAGTCCCCAGGACAGGCTACCAAAGCCAAGCCCTACCAGGCAACTGCCTTCACCTCCTGACTTCAGAGAGAAGATTCACCTCAGGATAAAGCATTTAAACTGCCAGAGGGCAGGGATAGGTGGGATATTGGGAAGGAATTCCTGGCTGGGAGGGTGGTGAGACCCTGTCCCAGGTTGGGTAGAGAAGCTGTGGCTGCCCCTGATCCCTGGAAGTGTCCAAGGGCCAGGTTGGACGGGGCTTGGAGCAACCTGGGCTAGTGGAAGGTGTCCCTGCCCATGGCAGGGGGTGGAACAAGATGATCATTATTATCCCTCCCAACCCAAACCATTCTGGGATTGTGTGATTTTTAACAAAATGCTTTTAAAAGCAACTTTGCCCCCATGCACAGCAGCACTAGCCTGTGGTTTGTAGGCATCAGGTAACAACTTTAAACCTCCTTCCTGTGCACCTAAAGCAAATTTGAGCCATAGTTCAGCTGTTTGAACACACAACATTCCTCATTCTCATGTCCAACTGAGCTGAGCAGCCCCAGTTTTGGCAGGGATTTGGGCTGAACACACATTTTTCCTTTGCATTGACATCCTGACATGTAAAAACTAGTCTTACATTAAATGCAACCACTACAGCCCTGACAGGAGATTGAACTTGAGGTGAAACACAGGCTTTGGGGGAAAAAAACCCAAACAACTTCATTTTTAAACCTTCTTTTGCCAGGTCCTGGCTGTTCAATTCCTGTTCCTGCAAACCAGTCCTTTTGGACCCGGGAGGAATATTCTCTTCCCAAACTTCCCAGAGCATCCCACAAAACTGTCATCCATGACAACAAGATGTGGATTGTTGGGGGCTATGTCTTCAATCACTCTGACTCTCAGAAGGTTTTGGCGTGAGTATAAACCCAGATAATAAAATCTAAAAGGAGAGGAGCTCAGATTTGGGAGTTATTTTTAGGAGTGTGTGCTTTGCTTTGGCTCCATCTCCAGGGGAAACCAGCCTGGATAAAAACCTCCAGGCTCACGTTTTGAGACGTGGGGAAACGCTGCCAAGGGGGTGCTAATTTGGGAGAAGAAAAAGTGGAAGGTTCCTGATGTTCAGTGAGTTTTTGAATCATCGGTGTCTGACAGCTTTGAAATATTCACTCTGCGTTTCTGGGCCACCTCCTGAATTATATCTCGGATTAAAGGAGGGTTTTGCTTCGGAGTTTTTAGCCCTTATGTTTTATTTGTGTGACTTCAGAGGCTTTGGCTCCTTAATTAACACCTGCTGATCACTGTGGATGGTTTTCCATAATGGGTGGGATACAAACAGGGAATGGCATTTAGGATGAGGAAATTTAAGCAGCAACTGGAGGAGATTTAACAGTAACTAAAACATCAAGTAATAATTGGGAAATCCCTCGTAAAAACCATCAGTTTTTCAGGCTTCCCCTCAAGCTTGATGGTATTGGGGCAGAACTAGGCAAAAGCTGGATTTTTTTTTTTCAGGCATGGCTTTGTACCTCCCTTTGTACCTAAATGGGAACTGTGTGTTCTGCACTCACATCCAGAGATAATAGTTCTTGTAGGGGAAATTAAAGAGGAGCTGAAAACACACATTTTTTTAATGGGATGCCCTATGGCTTTGTTGAACACTTTCTCAGGGATGATTTTATCTCACAAGGCTCTAAGCCTGACAGATACAGTGCATTATTTTAAATAAAGAGCCACAGGCCATTTTCAGGGCTGGGGGTTTGTGTTATTTCAAGCTTGAATGGCAAAAACATAATTAAAAAGTGCTTTTTGAGCACTCACAGGGTTGTTTTTTTATCAAGTAGTTGGAACTTACCTGAGTCAGTGTGAAGTTTTTAGACTTTTTTGAGGGATGATGTGGTGTTGGTTGCCACAGGCTAATAGACAGTTCATTAACTCTTGGATTTGCATTGGAAAGGACACAGGATAAAGCAAATCAATATGTGAATGCTGAGTAACAGAGCAGGCTGGACTGGGTTTTTTAATCCATAAGTAGCTTGTGGGAGCTTTGTGCATGCTGGAATCATGGCAGGATTTATTATTTTAGTAAATAATAATTTATATCATGATATTCTTTTGGTAAATAATTCCCCCCAAATCTTGAAAAGGACAAGCCATAACTTCCCCAGCTTTAATACCTATTCCTTGGAGGTTAATTCAGTTTTTATTACCCAGGTATGATCTTATTTCTGAGGAGTGGCTTCCCCTGAACAACTCTGTGAACTCGGTAGAGATGAGATATGGTCATTCCTTGGCATTACACGAGGTAAGTTCAGAATTCCAAACTCACTTGCCAGCTGATTTCTCCCTTCTTCCCCCTGGCTTCCCACCCCTTATCCCAGATCAGTCGTGTTTGGGAGAAGCATTTCTCCTTCCAAGGCTTGTCCATGGTTAGCCCAGGCTGTGTGCTCGTGCTCCAGAGAATCCTTGAGCTGCTGTCCTGGGAAGTCTGTGGTGCCTTTGCTTGTGTGTTCCTTGTTTGCCCTTTTTCCAGGGATTTTAGGGCTGTCTGAGGTCAGTGAGTCCATTATTTCCTCCTCTTTGCTGTCTGTGCTGGCAAGACACGCCTGAGGCAGAGTTTGCTGGAGTTCAGCTGCTTCCCAGCTGCCTTTTGTGTGGATCCCATAAATATTTTTATGTGCTCTGTTGTCCAAGACACCAAAGCAGAGCTGGGGAATCAGGGATTTTTGGAACTTGCTCTGCTCCTGCAGGAAAACTGTGAATCTGCTCTTCCAGCACCCACAGCAAGTGGATTTGATGCTTTTACCTGCCTTTCTCCCCCTCATGCCTTGCCCTGGGGGAGAGCAGGATGGCAAAGGCTTTGGAAAGGAAATGAGCTGATCCTTTCCTGACCTTTGGTTTTTTGGAATGTTAATTAGCTCATCAGGTGCAAGGCTAAGCAAAGCTTAATTATAAACACTCAAAAACTCCCCCACAGCAGCGTTCACAAACAGAGCACTTGAACAACCTGAAAGGATGGGAATTTATCCTGGAATCACAGGATGGTTTGGGCTGGAAGGGAGATGAAGGATCATCCAGTCCCACTCCCAGCCATGGGCAGGGACACCTTCCACTAGCCCAGGTTGCTCCAACCTGGCCTTGGATACTTCCAGGGATCCAGGGGCAGCCACAGCTTCTCTGGGCAACCTGTGCCAGGGCCTCCCCACCCTCCCAGCCAGGAATTCCTTCCCAATATCCCATCTAACCCTGCCCTCTGGCACTGGGAAGCCATTCCCTGTGTCCTGTCCCTCCATCCCTTATCCAAAGTCCCTCTCCAGGAGACTTCATCAAGTCTTTTCGGTTGCCTCAGACCAGCAATTCGTTCCGTACCTATTTCCGAAATCCCTTGGCCTTCTTCCACGTGTGCCTTTTTTTCAGGACAACATCTACATGTATGGAGGGAAGATTGATGCCACGGGGAACGTGAGCAGCCAGCTGTGGGTGTTCCACATCTCCAACCAGAGCTGGGCCCAGGTGGCTCCCAAGGCCAAGGAGCAATACGCCGTGGTGGGACACTCGGCCCACATCGTCACCCTGCGGGACAACAGCACCGTCATGCTGGTCATCTTTGGCCACTGCCCCCTCTATGGCTACATCAGCAACGTCCAGGAGTACAACCTGGGTGAGTGGGGCCCTCCCTGCCTCAGCTTTGCCTTGGTTTGGCAGTTCTTGAGCTTTTAATATTTGTCGAAACGAGCGGCCTCCGACTTCACCAACAACCTCCTGCAGCGCTACAGGCTGGGGACAGAGGGGCTGGAGAGCAGCCAGGCAGGAAGGGAGCTGGGAGTTTGGATTGACAGGAAGCTGAACAGGAGCCAGAGTGTGCCCAGGAGGACAAGAGGGCCAATGGATCCTGGCCTGGCTCAGGAACAGTGTGGCCAACAGGTCCAAGAAGTGATTCTTCCCCTGGACTCAGCGCTGGTGAGGCCACCCCTGGAGTGCTGTGTCCAGTTCTGGGCCCTCAGCTCAGGAAGGACATGGAGGTCCTGGAGCAGGTCCAGAGGAGAGCAACGAGGCTGGGGAAGGGACTGGAGCACAAGTGCTGTGAGGAGAGGCTGAGGGAGCTGGGGCTGTTGAGCCTGGAGAAGAGGAGGCTCAGGGGAGACCTCCTCACTCTCTGCAACTCCCTGACAGGAGGGGGGAGCCAGCGGGGGGTTGGTCTCTTTTCCCAGGCAACCATCAGCAAGACAAGAGGGCTGGGTCTTGAGCTGTGCCAGGGGAGGTTTAGGTTGGAGATTAGGAAGAATTTCTTTGCAGAGAGGGTGCTCAGCCATTGGAATGGGCTGCCCAGGGAGGGGGTGGATTCTCCGTCCCTGGTGGTGTTTAGGGACAGACTGGATGTGGCATCAGTGCCATGGGCTGGGAACCACAGCGTGGTTGGATCAAGGGTTGGACTGGATGATCTTGGAGGTCCCTTCCAACCCAGCTGATTCTGTGATTCTATGATTCTATGATTCACACCCTGGGGTAGCTCCCGAAAGCAAAAAAAAATCTGTAGTGGAGAAACAGAGCAGGAGAACTGGGGGAAAAACTGTATTTTCCTCTTTCCCTCTGGTAAAACAAACACTTCTGAAAGTTATCTCTTTAATCAGATTTTTTTCCGTAAGAATTTTTTTCATTCAGACCAAACACCTGCTTAACCTGCCCCTTGTGTCGCCTAAGCAGGGGCTTAGGGTGAACAGGGGATGGATTTCTGGATTCCCATATCCCTGGTATGGTCTGATCCCCCTATCTCTGGGAATAGAAATGATGATTTTAAGATTCTGAGGGTGATTTTAAGATCCAGAGATTCCTAGTGAAGCACAGGAAGCTCTCCAAGTGAACTGAATTCCCTCCTAACTCTGAAATGGAGTCACATCCCTGGCTCCACAGACCAGGTAGGGATCCTGGTTAAGCACAGGAAGCTCACAGCAGGAATGTGCTGGTTATTCTCAAAAATAGTGGCTCTGTCTGCCCTTGGAACCTGTTATCCTTGTCTTCCAGTCATCCTGATCCAGGGAATTTGCTGGAGCTGCTTCTCTGGTGTCCACATGAGGGAGTTTTCTTCCTCTTGGAGAGATCCAGGGAGAACCAGGACGTGTGGGGCAGTGGTTTGTTTTTCCCACACTGTCCAATTCCTTTGTTTTTTATGTGCCAGCTCTGCCCTGGAGTTGGGAAGCCTGTGCAGGGTTTCATTCTGCACTTACTATGGAGATTTGCTGTGTAATTTGGCATTTTTATTCCAGTTGCTGTTACATTATGTCTAAAGTGCTTCAGACCAATGTTATTTTAGTGAGTGAGATACAGGACCATTAATCACATATTAGTTTTTAACTGCCCTGTTCTTCACAGTCAGACTTGGCTTCAAGTGCTGTCTGGCTTTATATATATATATTTATACATACATAAAAAGTAAAAGTACTCTTGGGTCCCATTCCAAACCAGGTCCCAGTGCTGGCATTTTCATGTCACTGGAATGCAATCTATTACTTCTCTATTTTTTATCTCTCGTTTACTTAGATTGCCTGCAAAAACGTAATAAATGACCGTGAAAAAGCTACTTCTGCTCTAATTAAAAATACTTTTCAGTCCTTCTTGACAACAAACTCCTTGAAGGAGGACATTTTTGGCTGGGAGGTGATAGAGGCAGTGTGTAGATCTGAGTCAGGGGAATCCCAATTTGTGTTGCTGATGAGTTATTAATGGAGAGCAATTGATTGTGTTTTATCACCCTATTTTTTTCAGTGACAAATACCTGGAGCATTTTACAGACCAGTGGAGCTTTGGTGCAGGGGGGGTATGGCCACAGCAGCGTTTATGATCCCAACACCAGGTCCATTTACATCCATGGAGGTTACAAAGCCTTCAGTGCCAACAAGTACAGGCTGGCAGATGACCTGTACAAATATGAAGTCGATTCCCGGATGTGGTAAGTGGGTTTTCCTTCTTTTTCCTGTTTTCCCACCCCATATATTTGTCTCTGGTGAACAAGAGGGTGGAGGATTTGAGAAGGGTACAGTGGTTTATGTCTGCCTGCGTTCAGGAGAGATGCTGTTCTCTTGGATCTCTTATTTTTATATCCCTTTATGAATGGAGAATCATATAATCACATCTAATCAAGGCTGCGAACGAGCCAAGCAATCCATTTTAATCTGTTGTTCCATTCAAGCTGAAAAGAGAAATATTTGATGGTTTTTTCCTTGCCAGCCTGTGCATATGAGTGCAGTTACTGCAGTCAAGTGAGGGATAATTCACTCTGCAGTTAAGACTGTAAAAGAATTTCTATTACAACCCCATTTTCTTCTGGCTCTGTAACTCCTCGAAATGTTCATTTCTTAAGCTGAAAATCTTCTGTGATTTGTTTCTGCCCAAAGGTGAGTTTTATTAAAAAACTGTAGCCTCACTTCACGACTTGGAGGTGAAATACATTCTCCTTAGTTCTGTGGTGATTTTCTTCAAGTTCTTTCTAAAAGCTCCTGACAAAAACGAGACTGTCTTTTGAGTTAAGACATGGAAATTTGAGTCATCCTATCTCTTTTTTTTTTTTTGAGGGTTAAAATACTCTGTGTTTCTGCAACAACTCTCTGTGAGTCTGTGCTGATGAGAGAAATAACGAGGGACTAATTTCCAACCTCTTCCTTCCTGCTCCCTTGTGCACAGAGTGTAACCACACTTCCTCTGTGGGTTCATTTGATCCTCCACTTCAGCCAGTTCAGCAAATCTGGCTGAAGAGGCACAAAAATGTCACAGATGTGACAATGTTCTTCCAAACTGCTGCAGCACCAACTTCCTCGTGTCACATCGGCTCTGCCAGCCCGGGGAGCCCTGGGGAACAAGCCCTGCAGAGAGAGGGTGGGACTGGCTGCTCATCTCTAGCTTTGCTTTTTTTTACTGTCATTGGCTCCCTTATTTTATTCTTCAGTGTTTTAGGCCCTCTCTTCCCTGTTAAATCTCATGAGGTTCCCATGGGTTCTCTTCTCTATCTTGTCCAAGTCCCTCTGGATGGTTTGTCACCCACGTGCTCAGCTTGGTGTCCCTTGGTGAAGGGACCTTAAACACCAGCAGGTTCCACTCCCTGCCGTGGGCAGGGACACCTTCCACTAGCCCAGGTTGCTCCAGCCTGGCCTTGGACACTTCCAGGGATCCAGGGGCAGCCACAGCTTCTCTGGGTAACCTGTGCCAGGGCCTCTCCACCCTCACAGCCAACAATTCCTTCCCAACATTCCATCTATCCCTACCCCTGGCACTGGGAAACCATTCCCTGTGTCCTGTCCCTCCATCCTTTTTCCTCAGTCCCTCTCCAGCTCTCCTGGAGCCCCTTCAGGCCCTGCCAGGGGCTCTCAGCTCTCCCTGGAGCCTTCTCTTGTCCAGGGGAACCCCCCCAGCTCTCCCAGCCTGGCTCCAGAGCAGAGGGGCTCCAGCCCTGGCAGCAGCTCCGGGGCCTCCTCTGGACTCTCTGCGGCAGCTCCACATCCTTGTGCTGTTGTTCCCCAGGGCTGGAGCAGCTCTGCAGGGGGGTCTCATGAGACCAGAGGAAAGGGGCAGAATCCCCTCCCTCAACCCAAACCCTCTCAGAACAGCAGGGAAATTCTCCAAAGGATGACCCTTTGTGTTCAGTGCCATCACTCCCCTCGATTAACGCTGAGATCAGTGCCCAGTTTGATCAGTGCTCTCCATGATTTAGTCACAGAGGAGCCCTTGAGTTGGGCAGGTATTAACCTGCAGGGCTCCATTTTTGGGAGCTGCACAGGTTTCCTTGAAACAGGATTGTTAGTTTTGAGCAGCAGCTGCTGCCCAGTGTGAAAGAATCCTTTGGGCTGCTATAAAAGCAGAGTTACTCTAAAATATTGGAGTCCTCCCAGGCTGTCTATGCTCAAAAGCCCCATTAGAGTGAAAAGTTGAGAATCCCTGGGGAGGGAATTGATGACACGAAGATCCATAGCTTTGGAAAGAGACTCTCATAGATATATTTCTCCTCTAAACTGGCAAAGCAGATGGGAAGATGAGAATGAAGTTACAGAAGGGATGGGAGAGTGTGGAAAGGAAGTTGTTAAACACCTCATTAGGAAAAGCAGTTAAACACTTTATCCCCCCTTTCCCTGCACTTCTCCAGCTTGGGTTTATGGATTGGTTTGTCTGTGCCAGGTGCTGTTCAGCCTGGTGTGCTGGTTTAAAGGTAAATCAGCAGGGGAAATGAACCCAACTCAAAGGAGAGATTATAAGTCAGAATAACAATTTAAGAAAATAATACAATAAGTACAATTATACAGACAAACAATTGGTTTTAACCCACAAAACCCAAATGTATAACCCAGCACCCTGGGGCATGAACAGAATGGTGTTCTTTGGGCCCCCTGAGTCCAAAGTAAAAGGACAGGGGAAAACCTGTTGGTGAGAGTGGTGGTGCAGTCTGGTCAAGAGTGGTGATTACAGTCTGGTTGAGAGTGGTGGTCACAGTCCTTCCCTGGATCCCACGAGTGGTTAAAAAAAAAGTGCCAAGATTCCAAGATGATATATCCTCAGGTTCAGGCAGGAATGCCCAGTGCCTCCCTCAGGGCGGGGAGTTCCACACTGGGTGTGAGGACAAGAGCATCCTCCTATCTCACAGTTCCACACTGGGAATGAGGACAGGAGCACCCTCCTGTCTCACAGTTCCACACTGAGGACAGGAGCACCCTCCTGTCTCACAGGCCTCTGAACACCCAGTTTATAGCCTGAGGGGTCAGGGCTGCTCTGGGCAGAGGGTGTAAATGGTCTGTTGAGAACAGTTTCTGGGCAATGGCATGGAAGGCTCTAGAATCCACAGGTTTGGGTTACACCCATGCAGTGATGAACTGGGCCCAGCTGTTCTAACCAGGACACCTGGTTAATGGCTGTGTTTTTCTTCCCAAAGGACCATCCTGAAGGACAGCCGCTTTTACCGCTACCTGCACACGGCCGTGGTGGTGAGCGGGACCATGCTGGTGTTTGGAGGGAACACCCACAACGACACCTCCATGAGCCACGGGGCCAAGTGCTTCTCCTCGGATTTCATGGCCTATGACATCGGTGAGTTCTCCCAGAAATCCCAAGGAAGGCCCAAATTCTCGGCTGATTTCCACGCTGGCTGTGCTGTCCCGAGCGCTGCCGGGCAGAGGGATGTGGGATCAGGAGAAGGAGGCTCCCTAGGTTGCTCCAGAATTCCAAGGAAATGAGGTGGTGCCATGATTTCCAGCAGCAGGTAGTCTGTCAGCAGTTTATGCACAACCTTGGGCATGAAAAATTAGGGTTTTGTTATAGAATCATAAAAATCAAGGGATCATTAAGGTTGGAAAACACCCTTAAGATCATCAGGTCCAACCATCAACCCAGCATCACCCTCTTCACCACTAAACCACGTCCCCAAGTGCCACATCCACGTTTTTTTGAACACTTCCAGGGATGGTGACTCCACTTCTTCCTTGGGCAGCTTGTTCCAGTGCTTTGCAACCCTTTCCTTGAAAAAAATGCACCCTAAAATCCAATCTAAACCTCCCCTGGCACAACTTGAGGCTGTTCCCTGTCCTACTGTCTCAGCCATAAGTTCTCCTGATGTTTTGAGAGTGGTTTTAATTTGTTATTTGATAAAAAAAGGCAGGTTTTTAGGACAGGTCCAAGCACTGGAAACTGCTGAAAGTCAGCCTGTGCAGTGCACACTCTGGTTTTAATTGCTTTATTCAGCAATAAAGCAGAGTAGTAGGTTGGCTTTGCTGAATTTGAGTAGCCAGGAGAGGGCAGCATTTATTTGTGAATTTGGAGTCCAGAGATGGTGAATTTGAGAAGGAGAAGAAAAGGAGAGATGGAATTATCTGAAAGAAGAGATGGAATTATCTAAAAGGAGGTGCATACACACCCAGACAGCTCACAGTGGGGAAAAACACCATTCTCTGTTCTATCACATCTGTCTGCTGCTCTCAGAATTCCCTGAATTTGGGTTCACATGATGGATTCCCTGAACTAATCACACAAATCTGAAATCTTGCAGTGAGTGTCCACTGAGATCTCCCTCCTGGTTTGGGAGAGGAAAACACAGCTGAACCAATTACTTGGATCATCAGGGTTTGACATCCTTGTGCCATCTTTCCCCTTCGTTACAGGGATCAGTCCCTTCTGCTTCCTGTGATTTCCAGTCATGTTCCTGTGGAATTTTTGTAGCTGGCTTTATTTTAATGTGTTTTGTTTTTTTAACTCGAGGAATTAAAATGAGATATTCCACCAGGTTGGAGCAACCTGGGCTAGTGGAAGGTGTCCCTGCCCATGGCAGGGAGTGGAACAAGATGATCTTTGAGGTCCCTTCCAACCCAACCATTCCATGGTTCTCTGACAGTCATCAACAGTTTAATTTTTTTAAACTTTGATTGCAGCATTGATTGATTTTCCTTGCTGCATTCTGCTGTCTGCCCTGACCTGTTGAACTGTCTGTTAGATTTAAAGCCCAATTTGCATTAATTGGACAAAATGTGCCAACAATGATGTTCGTTTTGACTCATTTTAGTCACCAGGCAGGTTCCTGGTGTGAAATTTCCTTACATGAAATAAGGGGTGCAGTTAATTTTCAGTTTTACCCTGAGATTGAGAACTTGCATTGATTTAGTTTCACCTGATGGGCTGAGACGTGTTTTGGTGTTCTTGGATCCCCTCATTCTTTAGGGAAGAGACTCTCAGCCCAAAAAGAGCAGCTTTTTTTCAGATAACAGACCACTTTCTCTGTTCTCCTCATGGCAGGACCCCTTGTGCCTGATTTTCCTTCTCCCATTTGCCTGGGAGCAGTGCCAGGAATCCCTCAGGGGGGTGGCTGAGCATTGGTGTCACAGCAGAAACACCTCCTTGGTGGTTCTTCCTGCAGGATCTCTGCAGTAATTAATTATCTTGTTCATATTCACGTTGGTCTCCATGGAAATAAGTCCATATAAACCCCTTGTTATCTGTCCCTTGATATTCCCAAGGCACAGGTTACCCAGAGAGAACCAAG